TATTTATCATGTTCGACACAACACTCCAAATGCAAATACATTAAAATGCGCCACGATTTGAGACGAACAGCTTATACAAGATGGTGAAATAGTCAAGTAATTTGGTTGTTGACGTCATGCATACAAACAATGACTTCTCATGCTCGAGCAAGGGGTCTAAAAAATTAGACACTCTTACAAGCGAGTCAGTCACATCTCTCGATTATGAATCTATGCATAAGCTTTTTTGCATTTGACTTGTTTATATCTGAGAGCATTGACGTTGTGACCATATAGTTTGGGACCAGACTTTTAGTAAGAATGTTATCAGCGTAAAAAAATTAAGAAGAGAAAGTGGTGGCACGAACATGTTGTTGAAAAAATAATCCGGATAGCGACTGCCATTTCTCCTTCTTCTCGACCATCATCCTTCAAGAGTAAAAGCATTCTTGTAGTTTCGCAGCTCTATGAATCTATGCGGTCTATTAACAAGTGCTCTCGTATCTGGAAGAAAAATATACCTTTGTTTTACGCCGCCATTTCTGTGGCTGCTTACAAATGAGAATACAGCCGTAAGCGGAGGAGATGAGATGGCTCGGTTGTTACGCGCTTAATACAATTTACTGATGAAGAATCATATATGCGTAAGTAAAATCACGCGTATAATGATATTATTGCATCGTTTACTCACACATTCTTTAACAACTCGTGCCACGCCAGCTCTTACCAACAAAAGTAAGCTGACTGATGCAATTGGCAATTTGCATTGTATATGTGTATATGTGTATAGCACGATGTGCCACATAAATTATTCATGCAGGTTACGCGACAGAGATAATGCGAGAATGCTAACTAAAATGATAAAAGGGTCATTCTTCGCCTGTAAGAGCGAGGGAGAAGTAACGCAAGCTCAAACGCCATTGACAAGGTGGAATCCGTTTACGAAAGACGAATGGTCAAGAGAAAAGTGGTACTTTTTGAAACCGGAGAATAGCGGGAAAAAAGGCATCCTACTTGCGTTATAAAATATCGTATATGCCCTTTTTAAACCAAGCTTTGGACAATGCGAATCCGCAGCAGTCAGTCAAGCTTGAAGTCAAGCGTGTTTCAATTGCTGCCGTTGGTGGTCATTTGTTTCAAACGGATCTTGCATCACAGAAAAGAAAAACACAGACGCAACCTCGTTTTTTAACTTTTAAGAACATTAGCAGGGTCCGGGCGTAGAGAGCACGGTGTCAAAGAGTTGCCACCGTTTTATATGCACTTGAAAAAGATCCTAAGTCTTAATCAGTACATTCACAAGGTCGATCAATACGCGAGAGATCTTTCTGTGTGAATTGGAATGGCATTACCCAACGATAGATTAAGTTTTCGTTATAATGATAGTCAAACATAGAAAGCTTCTCTTGTTGATTATTATCTTTTTGTCATTTTCTTATTGTATTTTAAAGAGAAACCCTCTTTTCTAGGAAGTTCCAATAGAAAAAGAGGGGGAAAAACTCCTGCTGTCTCTTTTTTCCAGGAAGACAACAAAACCTGATCGAAGACGCAGGTAGTGAATGGTCGCTACGCAATGAGAGACCTTCGCCATTCACTAGTGGCGCCCGTGCCGTGTGTGCCCACAACGTCAACTAAGCACAAAGATGCCTCAAGGTTGTTGTACTACGTTGGTGCAGCCCTAGGGCATGCTTCCAACAACCTTGCTACCATTGAAGCATCTTTCGGGTAGAATATATCCACCTCAACCTGGCTAATAGCTTTCCAAGTCAAGGATTCACACAACACTTTGCGCTTCATAAAGTTTGTGTAAATGGAACTGGAGAAGAAAAGAAAATGGGAGGGGTGGGGGGTTTTTTGGTATTCTTATCCAGACAATTTTTTGCCGTCACGCTCGGGTCTTCAATGAAATCCATCATTTTGATTGGCTCTCATTTGTAAGGCTCTGGTTGGCTCATTTTATGGGCCGCTTATATCATATGACGCAACTTGGCCTAAAAGCAAAGGGAAGGCGAAGGAGATGTGTAAGTGATAGTCGTCGTGAAGAAGTCAAATACGCTACAGCAGCAGTGATCGACATGCTATGTATGTTTCACCATGCCGATGTACCCTCCGATACTGTCGCCGCTTATTTTGGAAAGAAGTGTCAGTGCACGCACCCGGCCTCCACGTCAAATACAGGTACGTTTCGAATGCCAACTTGTTCAATGAGTAAGGAAGAAAAAAAAGATGCGACTGAACAACTCAATTAGAAATGATAAGGAAGAAAGACAGAATGCCAACTATGATTAAGAACAACGGATGAGTGCTCGTGTGCGATCTGGGAAGCAGTAACTACTGCTGAATTTCCAAGGACTCGTATCATTTGCCCTGGCGGACCAAATATCTACAAGTGATAATGTGGATTTTGTTCGACCCATGGAGTATTCTGCTGAAAGTTCGCTCGACCCAATTCCATTCCACGTTTTTATAGGTTGCTGATTTGTATCTTTGCCTATTCAAATATAAAAAAATATCTCTTGTAACACAGTCAGTATTAGCATAGCAGTGTCGTCGTCACTTTTATTTCAACAGCACAAACTCACTTCTCAACGTCTGTTAGTGAAGATACTGTTTAACGAGATTTCGAAGCAAACTTTGTTCTTGCTGCAATGGCAAATGATTGCTGGATTTTACTGAATCGTTTGGAAAGGCGGAATGGACACTGCTTAGAAAGTTTGAGTCGCGTCTCGAGCTTTTGAATGGAATTACAGCTCAGCAAAACAAATAATAACTAGAGCAAGTACCATTATTGGCAATCACGACCTTTAGTATTATCTCTCGAATACAGGTACATACACATCAGCACCCAAGAAGTATAGAATATTCTAGAATTACTGTAAACAATCCAAAATAAGTGGTGGAGGAGAAGAAGAAGATAGTCCCATATACATCCAAGCTCATCATTTGGAAACTTTAAACCCGAAACCAGACTAAACCCAGACCAGGACTTGCGCGTTCGCCTAAACCTGCTCACTCACTGGCGTTCGCTGCCAGGCCCCACAATTCGTTGCGAGCTACTCGCCCTTCTTTTCAACCTATTGAGTGACTTAATTCATCACTATGTCCTATATTTATTAGTAACGTAGCTGCTTGATATCATGACAATGCAGTAAGATATTTTGGATCGCGTGGGCAATGTATTAGGAAGAAGCCTGCATACCAGCGAAAATGCTGCTGTTTCCTTTTTTTTTTCACAAACATCATCCTATCTTCAACTTGAGAATCCAGTGTCTCTTACACAGAAAGTACACAGACCGGTCTTTTTTATTCCATTGCAATCAATTAGCGTTATCCCTTCATTACTATAGCAACAGCAGAAATAGTAAAGATGACATACCGATTAATTTTGTCTAGATAGTCTGCTGGATCGAAGCCTGGATGTGTGCAAAATGTTATGAGTAGGATTGCCTGTTTCCTTTTGGTCCTGAGAAATGGGTTCGAAAGTGATTGGTGCTGTTGCTGTTCGGTGTTATGGGATGATATATACATCTTTACTTGAATGTTGATAAAATTGCACCAACGTCATAATCAAAAAATTAGCGCTGGATACCGTCTTTGTTTTTATGGTGCTGTGTAACCCTTCTTTTCTTCACGTGATGGAAGAAAATATATCGGCTGGCATAGAACATATTCAAACGAGTTCGTCTGTATTTGCAGTGGTGTTGCTAATATCAAAAAATGCCGATTTTGACAGCGATTGAATGACCACTGACGATTGTGTAAAATGTGTGTTGTATATTCGTTCGTCAAAGTTTTTATATATGTTCGAGTGCTGTGAGTACAATTGCCGCCTTAATGTGTCACTTTGGTATATATTATATCGTTACAGACGAGATGATCTGCTAATCGTCGTCCAGAGAAATCGTTGTATGCAAACGTTCGTGAGAAGCACACGGTCCCAGTGACACCAGTAGAATGGTATGTTGAGTTGTCAGAGGTGCTTGTACGATCGATGGTGTGGAGCGTTCGTGATATTCATGCTTTTGTTTGGTAAAGAGGAAAAAGAGTAGAGATGTGCTGTTCTTTTTCAGCAGCACAGTCACTCAAAGACAGCACGATCATGGTTCACCGTCATATTCATATGTCGTTGTTCGACTATCCACATATACATGCTGGTAATCAAGCCAAGTTATAAAATAGAGATCCTTCTGTTTCTATTTCTTTTACCAGTGCTCTCACACAATCCGTCGTATCAGTAATCCGACAAAAGAACTGCCGTTCACAGCACATCTTCTAACCCGCTCAAAAAGTATTTTTTCTTTTTTAATTGATCGTCTTCATTAAAGAATTCTATTCTTCTAGTCCAACACTGTTGCCTTCAGCAAACAAAGACTCTGAAATATATATCCACATCACTCATCCACCACACCCATCCACAACCAGCATGCTCAACACAATTAAACTAAGCACAGCATACTCTGCCCAGCAATCACTCTTGACCACTTACCTGGATCCTCACACGTAGCAATGATACAAAGACGTAGTATCTACATTATAAGGACAGCCTCAAATTAGAAAATGGCTCAAGCTGATCCAGCAATACACATACATCAAAAAGTAAAGTACCTTATCACACCAACGGTCAATGGTCTTGCATCTGTTCCATAAACAAACAGAATAACCTGCCCATCCAAATTCCTCTGCCACCGTCGCCAATACCCACAATGGCCGCCGTCAACGATCGCACGTTTACAAGCACTCGTTCATCCTATTGACCATTCTTGCTTTCTAGGAAAACAATCCTCACAGTTCTAACTAGCTAATAAAAAGGGAGACTTTAAATAGAAAACTTACCATGTGGATCATAATTTCGGCAAGCACAGCAGGAGCCTACAACGGAATCGCATGTGACAGAAAAAAGCAAGTTCATCCATGGAGAGCCACAGCAACCAACACAGTCTCAGCCTTGATCTTGATAATCAAAACGGCGGATGAAGGCATACAGCTTAAGCATACACAGGAAAGCTATGAGAAGAACAGGTCGTCCGTTGAAGCGGCAGAGCAGCATCCATGCACAGCATCTTTGGCAAGCACGGGAAAACCAAAAACAAGTCCGTCCAGCAAAGGAGCCTTGGAAACAAAGACGCCAAGTAGAGCCACAAAATACGTCCGGCAGAGTTCAAGACACCCAAGGAAAAGAATTTGTCTGTACAATGAGTAGAATATCCAACACGTCCAAGATCTTAGATGGCGAGAGAATTGCGAGATGGAGCAAGTCAAGGTATACAACAGCCAAAAAAAAAAAAAAACCAGAGTGAGCACGAATACGTATTGCAGGTAACAGAGCAACAAGGGCGCCATATACGAGAGCAGAATAGCGTCACTACAGATGGCAGCCAGCACGATTGACGGTAGTGACAGGAAAAAGCAACGTTCTGTTGAAGGCAAGGACAGTCACATGGCAGCACGTAGCAAGTGAAGGTGGCAAAGACGTGAAATGTTCGAATGGCGTAAAGCGAGATGGAGCTAGCGTGACCAGATGGTTATGAAGGACGTCGAAAGAAGCAATGTTGAGCAATAGTAAACAACAAAAGAACTTTGGTAAAAAAAAAGGCAAAGTAAAAGTAAGTAGGAAAAGAGGGAAGAAATGAAAAGCGGCACCCCTTGTTTCAAGTATTCATATCGTCCTGGGGCCCCGAGCCAGCAGAGCATTGGACCACTGGAAGAAGTGCTTTCCCACATGCAGTGGTGACCATGACAACCGCCCTTTTCATGCTTTCTTTCCTTACTGCTTGTGCTACGCTCTTCCTTTTCCATTCCTCCTTTTCCTTTTCGCTACTTCTTGTTTACGCTTTCACGCCGTCACTCCACTCGGCTAGTTCTTTCTTTTTTACTTGTGCTACGTTCTTCCCTTTTCGTTCACTGCTTGTCATTTTCCCGCCCATTCCTTTTCGTCACCGCGTTTTCCTTTTCGTCATTCATCCAAAACGGGTTTGTCAGTGTCATCTTGCTTTACCCTGCTTAATAATGCCCGACATGGGTTTCTACGAAGGTCTTTTAAAAGCATCGATCATGCACGTCCTCCGAAAAGACAGAAGAGCAGTGCGTGTTATGAGCATTCGCAACGGATTATCTGTAGAATTGAGAATCTGTAAAGTAACTGGTCCTGTCCTGTAACATCAAGAACGCCAACAACGACAACAGCATTTCCATGTCTACGATTACGGTCACTTCTCCCCCGACACCACCCTCTCCTCAAGCCGAAACGCTACCGCTGCCTCCCCTGTCACAACTGCCGACAAAAAAAAGACGAAAGGTGCTTGGTGGCGCAATGACGAGGATCAGCTCTTGGTCCAAGCCTACCTTCTAGCCAACAAGGATGAAAAAGTTGGCTTCAACCAAGATTTCAAACCGTTTTGGCAACGCGTTTTTGAAGAGTTTCAAAAAGGCGGCAATGACAAGAACCGCACCCCCGAAAATTGTCAAGATGTTGGGAAATCGTCAGCGCGCGAATCGTGAGATATGCAGCGGCCGTGGCCTTTATCAAGAGAAGGCCACCAAAAAGTGGCGAGGCCGATGATGACAAGGTAGTCTTTTGCATAATAATATGCATATAACAGATTCGAGAAGTTCCTTTAAGTTCCTATAATAGAAACAGCGCATCATCGAAAGGTACAACGGCAAAGTTGAAGCACGGTATAAGCCGTTCAAGATGGCTCTTGCTGGCCTCTGCTGAAGGATGAGCAAAAATTTAAGTTCATCAGCGACATGGCCAACGAGGTCAGCGTGGATGGCGAGAAGGATGTGCGGCCCATTGGTAACAAGAAAGCCAAGGCTCTGAAGAGACGACACGCCGAAGACGACGATCTTGAGAGCCTGGCTGGTGAACAGGTGAAGCCGCCCGTCTGGAGGTCGTCGAGGAAGAAAAGAGAAGGAGACTTTTGTAGAAATGCTGGAAGAGGCGCAAAAAGCGAATGAATAGGCGCGACTGGCAAAGAAGAAGCCATCATGAGCAAGGATTTAAATTCTCTTAGTCCTGCTCCATGATGGTACTACGAGAAGAAGCAACAGGAGATCGATGATCGAATGAAAGAAGAAGGGACGGAGAAGAATGTGGTGCAGGAAGGAGAGCCCGGAGAGGTTCGGAGGAAGAGAGGGCTCGTTAACGAGGTCGTCGAAAGAAGTTGTTGCATGGATATCCTCCGATTCGTCATGTGGTAACGCCACATGTCTTCTCGCGAGTATTCAAAATCACGGCATCAAGCTCATCAGACAGTAGCCTTTCAGCTTCTTCTGCAGTCTCTCTAGTCTTCTTTTCCTCTTCTGTCTCTACATCGAGCAATCCTGTGTGATGCCAGCAACATTTCATTGTTTCCTATAAGACTAAGTCCCAAGCATCTCTGGCCCATTGCATGGCAGTAAGCTGCTCTACATCATAGAGTTTGCCGAGCTGGAACTTCCGATATTTTGATTCGCTTCAGGGCGTTGCATGGCCTTGCAGTATCTTTGCTGCAGTGGCTCCGTCCATCAATAAGGCCAGAATATAACGTTTGTTGTTGGGCTCAGTTTTATTGTTTCTGAACTTACCGATACTGTTTTTTGAAACTGGCGACGTTACTGTCTTTGTTTGATTTATCGAACTTGTTTGTTTCTGCTGGGGTCATTCTTAAAATAGATAATGCGAACATTAATAACATTTGCAGCGGAATAGGCATAGCAACCGGAGCACATTATCGAACAATTGTTGTGATCTAGTTGACTGAGAGCATACAGTGGAAGGCTGTCATTCATTCCTGCGCAATCTTGGAATATACGGCGGATTGAATTTCATCAGTGCATCCGCATATCCGGATCGGGTGCGCATGGCCCTTATATCCGATCTGATGCGATCCGTGAAGAACGCTAGTGAAATTTTGAGGGAAATAACGGAACAAAGAATGAGTGTTATCAGCCTTGTTGGATACAACAGGTAGACTGTCACGCTAGTTTAGAATAACCTTTTTCTTAACGCCAGTATAATGAGAAGATATAGGTTTTTTCGTTTGTGTGAAGGCGAAAGGATGGGTAAAAAAAGTAGGACAGGAGGAATTAGTAAGCACGTCGTGCTGCTAATACATGGAACCTGTCTGTGAGTCACATAAACCGACGTACATAACAAGGCAATTTGTGTACTAGCACGTTTTTTTCTGAGCAGATATTGTATACAGTGGTCCCCCAACATAGCAAATCGGCAAAAGTGTTGAAGCAGTGGAAAAACAGTAGAAGCGAAATTGTTTTGGAAGGATGGATAAACATAAACAAGAGAATGGTCGAGATGATTACTATGAAAGGAAAATGTTCAATATCTTAGCCGATTTTCTTGTGGTTTTAGAAAAAAATGAGGTTGGATAAGTTACTAAGATGAAAATGAAGTACAAGAAGAGCAGAGCAAAGTTGACTTAGGAAGTTTGGGAAGTTGAGTGGAGGCACTAAGTGAAAAGAATTGGGGGGGGGATGACGTTATAGGCGGTGGTCAGGACGAAGCGGCAGAGGTTCGGCGTATGGCAAACAAAAGAGATAGTGTTTGTAGCGAGAGTTATGAAGAAAGGCAACGGGAGCTTTTATTTCGAGAGCGTGAATGTGTATGATGAGGAGCTGACAGGGCGATAAGAGGATATGTAGCATGTAGCGGAAACAATATAGGAACGAGATATCAGGACACCCGTTAATTTCCAACTTGAAATTCCCAAATGATGGATTGTGAAAGTTAACGGATGCTAGGACTCAATATCTGTGTACGGATATTCTTTATCAAGACGCATCTTAATGCTACATAGATTACCAACGCTCAAGAAGTTGTCACTATTTAGAAACCATAATTCACATAGCCTAGTACCCAATACATTTTCTAGCTGGATTGACCTTGTTTCCACATACGTAATATATAAAATATACACCAAAAGAAGAGACAATGTGAGACCAAGAAGCATTTGGTAAATCAGCGACCGCTTGCCGCCCAGTAGTATCACTGAAAATCAGAAAAAAAATTATATAAAAGGATAAACATATCTCTGTTACAGTACTTGTATGTTATGCCTATCCTTTTATAAAAAACTTAAAGTCACAAGGAGAGGGGTGAGTGTTTGTTTTCTATAGAAATATTCTACTAATATCTAATAAATGATAACTTGTTCATGAAGATCAAACTAACTTTCTGGATTCCTTGACCTCCGATGGAGATGAAGAGATTATACCTAGTCTCGCTTCTAAACTACGGAAGTTACGCGGCAAGCTTCAAGAAAAACTGTTTGCTAGACAAAGCTCTTTAGATAGCTTTTTTTTAGTTTTTGATTATATCCACTTAGTTACATTGAGTAAATGACGTGCAGTGCTTATTTTCTTTAAAGCATATATGAAAGAACAATTTGTATTAAAACGCGATTAACCCTGGATGATACATTGAAAGTGAAATAAACGGGGGTTTGAAAATATACCTTGTTATTTTTCCATTCCCAAAAAGTTTGTTAACGGATGTGCAATGAAAGGGGGTATACTGTTTTGTGATTATAAACATGTTGGGTGGAAGAAGAGAGCAAAGGCACAATGATTGAGAAGTGGCATTAATGTCTAGAGGTCAACAACGTGTACAAGATTTTTGGACAGACACAAAGAATTATTATTGTACGAAGAGTGAAATCATATTTTTATTCATGGAAAGAAAGAAGACAACTATGGACAAAACAAATACTACAAGCAAATAAGGCCAGCAAGCGACATGAACAGACAGAAGCTAGCTAAATCAGAGGTACCAATGGCGCTTCCATGATATCGTCACGAGACATATAAAACAGAAGCCCAGCAACGAGCTTACATTGACCATCGTAAAGGGGAGCGACAGGGAACTGGCCAGCAACAGCTGTGTGTCCATGACAGCATAGGCATCGTGACAAGCCGATAAGCATGACCACTTATAACATGGCAGTAGTAATCAAGTTCTCCGATCAAGGTCAGCGCACCCTAGTCGAAGGTACTGGGTGCAAGTGCAGAACGACATCTACTTTGAATTCACAACGGGTATAGAGAACTTGGTACAGAGTTGGTCCTTGATGTACACAAACTTGTGAGTAACCACTAATCATGTAGCGCTCAAATTTATCTTTAAACCAACTCAACTAATGATGCATATCAATACAAGTCATACTTGAATGGTGACGCGTTAAATGTCATTGCAGCTGAACAGAGCAGCGAACCCAAGCAGCAACGTAGTCTGCTTACCTGCGCCATACCGATGACCCTACTGCATGACTGTAATTAGATAGAAAAGCCAGCTGGAAGATCTGAAAACGCTGGCATGTAATATGAAGGACCGTGAATCTATTAAAAACAGTGAGTGGCCGACTCTTCGTCATTGTGCTATCAACGTCTCAGTGAGCACATCCACAATAAGAGGCCCACAAAAGCTTGAACACACCTTAAATTGGTTGACTACCACAGTACATGGTTGACGACGCCGGTCGGCTTAGGGTGTGTACGGACAGTCGTTTGACGTGATGACAACTGAGTGTCGTATAGAGTGGGTGTTTCACTAATCGAGTGTCAAAAAGGTCTGACCCTACGATGATTGTGATGGAAGAAAAGAAAACAGTACGAAAGAATGGTGACGAATGTAAAAAGAAAGATAAACGGAGAACAGAGAAGACATGGTAATTTAGGATGTGAACGCTGAGTCATTGTCTCTGACACATTTGCGGGATTTTCATCGAAACCCAGTGCCCATCTTTCGTGTGACAAGACAACAGTAACATATCATCGGTTAACTATGACACTCGATGGGTGTGTTTCTGCATTCTTAATGACGCGTGACAACAATCGATGGCAAGTATTTACTGTACTTGCACTTGATAAACAAACATCGACCCCTTCAAACGCCATTAAAAAGATAGTTTGTACTCTGCCACCAGTAAAACATTTGTCATCCAGTCTTGCACAAACAAACTGAAACAGTGCGCGATCATAGTGCGACTGCTATTCGAAAACTCATTTTCTAAAATAAAAGAGAAAGACAGTAGATTTAATTAGGGTCTCCGTCTATCTAGCAGTTGGGAAAATCAAGACATAGCCAGTTCAGAATTGACCATAAACAAACCGTAGTCAACCGCGGAGTTGCCACTATTCTTCGAAACATCCCTTAAAAAAATAAACAAAAGTAAAACACCTCAACCATCGACATTTCAACATAAATAAACAATTGTAAACAAAAGTAACACGGTTAGAGTCATAATAGGGATGAAGAATACAGGATGTTTAGCCGTGTTTCATCGGTTGATAAACAGCTGGTGAAGGAAAGCGGTTGTTTGTCAATGCTCGGATGGAATTCAAGGGACCTACTGTAGGTCGTGCCAAATGCGGAAAGGCTTCATATAAGTTTAGATGATTATCAGACATGTTGATAATAGTCCACCGAAGCCTCTGATAATAATTACACCGTATTACTATCACTAAACCATTGATGTGAAAGAATGTGCGCAATTTATAGTTGG